TTTCCTGCTGGCCCCACACATTCCTCGAAAACCCACTCCTTGGTTCCCATGATTCACTCTCACACTGTCTGGGATTCCTTCACCAGCTCTTCTTCTGCCTACTGCACAGCAGTCCCCAGGCCTGGTCCTGAGCCCCATCCTCCCTGCTTATCTACACTGCCCCCTGGACTGCTTCAGCCTCTCCATGGGCTTACAGCTTCCCCTAGTCTGTGCATCCCTATTCTCAGGCCAGGCAGGACATCTCAACCACTGAACCCACTGATTCTGGAACAAATCCAGTTTATGCACATAACACATGACCAATCTAAGGCCCACAGGCAACCGTGAAGGGGCCCAGGAGAATGTGGGGGTGGGGCAGGGGGAGTGAGGGAAAGTTCTATATCTTGACTGCACAACTTCACTCTAGAAAGGGTGAATTTACTGTACGCAATTATATCTTAGTAAAAAAATATATAGAAAAAAGTCACACAGCCACCTCAACCCCTACATGTCTAAAACTGATATCACCATTTTCCTCCAGACCAGTTCCTCCTCCTCCTCCTCCTCCTTCACCTGTTTTTGGTAGTAACACCACCCACCCCACACACCAAAAAATCTCCTCCCCCCAGCTAGAAATCTCAGTTGGGTGGCCAACCAGTCACAGTCTAGACATTCTATCTGCACAGATTTGTATTCTCTTGAATTTGTGCCTTGCATTCCACCTCCTACCACCTACCACCTGGGACTCAGGCCACCCTCACTTCTCAATAGTGCCTCACTGGGCTCCCTCCCTGTCCACTTTGACCTGCCTTCAACCCTCTGCACACCTGATGGCCCCAGTGCCCTCCTTACAGCAATGCCTGCCAGGTCTCTGCTCTTGCTTGGGCCTTAGCTCTAGAGCTTTTCTCTCCCAAAGAAACCTCACTCTTCCTTCAGGCTCCCACTCCCAGGCCTCCCAGAACAGGAAGCTGCTTTCCCAGCCCTTTCCCATCAAAATAAGCACTCACTCCACCTGGGTTCCCACAGCTGAGAACCTAAAGGATCCTGTGTAGTCCGCCCTATAACCACGCTGTCTCCCAGACAGACAGTGCACATACCAGGGCAGGGAGCTGCCTCCCTTTCTCTCCCAGGGCCCTCCAGGGCCAGGGAGTTGTGGGTGCTCAGCAAACACTTTCTGTCCTGAACTGAATTCACAGCTGAAAATTACCAGTAGTGCAATGCCAGCCTTCCTGACCCCCAACCCCACAGCTGAGATAAAATGTCACAGAAGCACTGCTGGCAGCAATGCTGCTCAGACTGACCTAAAGTCCTAAGGGCAGATCAGACAGGCTGCTTCATTCCAATGGGCTCCCTAGCCCAGTCCTCCACTGCTCCCTTCACACTCCCTACCCTCCAGCCAGATTGCACTCACCTCAACCCCAGGCACTCACCTACCCCAATGCTGCCTGAATCAATGCTACTCAGAGTGGTCCTTGGACTGATATTGTCATCCTCGATGACGAATAAGCACTTAGAAACTTTTATAGCAATTTAGCATTGCCATGAAGTTCTTCCTGTGTCTTGTAAAAGCATTGGTCTGCAACAAATTGGGAAAAAAATAAAACCTGCTCCTTCATCACTGAGAATCTGGGGAGCACTGGCCCCTCACCCCCATCCCCCAGACTCCTGCCTCTTCCTGCTGAAATCCTGCTCACCCTCAGGGGTCCAGTTACCATGCTTCCCCTCCAAGAAGCCTTCACAGTTTCCACCAGCTAGAATTAGTCTGACCCAGAGTCCCTTGTCCAAACCACACTAAGGGCAGTTGTATAGTGTATCTACATACCCCTTACTACAACTACCTGAGGTCACAAGTCTTACTCACTTTTATATTTCCATTGCCATGTTTAGACAGATAATCGATATTTGTTCAATGAGGAGTAAATAACCAGATCCACATACAATTTCAGAGTGGGCTTTCCTTCATGGGCAGGATGTGGAGAAGCACTGATCCTTAGGGCACATAGGGATTTTTCAGGTTTGGACCAGATGCTGCTCCTTCCCACCCCTCGCCCCAGCCCAGATGGGAATAGGAAGATATTATTAAAAAAAAAAAAAAAAAAAAAAAGCAAGTCGATGGCTCCTGAGACAAGAACTCAGTCACTATTCAACTACAACAGATTATACAATACCCTGAAATGGCAATTTGAGTGAAAACACCACATGCACACACTAAAAATAAATCATACCCAAGTATGAAGAATAAAGAGAGATTTTTCATGGTAATTTCCAACTTTCAACATTCTGTAGGACCCTGACCTCAAAACTAAGGGTCAAGGGTTCAGGAGCCTGTACTCACACAACAAATGATATGCTCGTGGACAGACCAATGGCTACCCACTTGGGTTTGCAAAATGTGGAGAAATGCCCCCTCTCTGATCCCACCTAGATACACCTCACTTAGCACCAGCAGACCCTCCATAGATGCTACTCCCAACTCCTACTGGCTCTCCCTTCCACTAGCTCTCCCAAGTTTCCTGGCTGCTGTTTAGCAGGAGTGCTGGAACTATTTCCAGACGCTACTGTCAGATCAAGACAACTCTCTATCTAAATATTACTGTCTAATTTTGCACACAGCTCTTGTTTCAACTGACAAAGATAATGACTCAATGTCCATGGCTCTTGACGGAAAATTATCCTGCTAAGTTTGGAGCTTCCCAATAATAGACTTCTCTAAACTTCTTTTTGAGAAAGTAGAAGTCACCTCCCTGTCCAAATTCTTTTCTACAAGCAACAAAGGGCACCCAAACCCACCCACCCCCAAACTAGCGAAGGAATGATAGGGGAAAATCCTGATACATCCCCACAGGATCGATTAACAATAAGACAGGGAAATCCATATCAGAGACTTGAGATGTTTTTCCTTGTTTTGTATAGTAATCACTGTTTTTCGGTTTTTCTGCATCCCATCCATTTAGGACTCAGAAGTTTAGGGCATAAATTCTGGGTTATAACTGAAGGCAAAATCTAGACTCAGAATTAAAGCATCTTTCTCCACGTGGAAAGAAATGGCTCACTGTCTCTGACACTGATGCTTCAATCAACTATAAAAGAACTACACAAATTGTATGTGTCCATGCTACACCAATGCACTCTGGAGTAGCCTAGCCCATGGAGGGGCACATGATACATGTAAATACACCCACACGTATATTTGAAACGCAGCCGGACCCTTCCTCCCTGCAGAGGCAGGTCTGACCCCCTGCCATATCACAAGACACAAGGGATGTCTCCCCAAAAAGTGAGGATGAGTAAAGAATCACCTTGGAAAAGCCACCTGTGGATAACTGACTTAGTTTTCTGCCAGCATTAAGACAGCTTAAACTTATTTGCTCAATTTAAAAACCGCCCCAGAGATATTTCATATACACATCCCCAAAGTCTTGCAAAATCCCGAAAAATAGAAACCACCAGTCTTCCACTTTTTTTTTGCACTCGACCCAGGCAGTCACTGCCATGCATGCAGCAGGCACAGTAAAAAACCATGGGTTTCTACCTTCCATCTCTCACCTATCCCCCCAGGTGCAAAGATGGGGTCTCCTTTAAAGCCCAACCTACATGGTTTAGGGCAGGGGGCACAACCCTGTTCCTAAACCTCTCAATGATTCATGGGCAGGTCCCAGGAGGCATGTGGAATTCCTGAGAACACTCTTTTAGAATCTTACCACCAAGGGCAATTCTGTCCTCTAGGAGATATTTTTGGTTGTCACAACGAGAGAGAGAGAGAGAGAGAGAGAGAGAGAGAGAGAGAGAGATACATCCTACAATGCACAGGTCAGCCTCCCCATAACAAAGAATTGTCAGGTTCAAAATGTCAATAATCTGGAGGATGAGAAACCCTGTCTTAGGTGACACACAGGTGTCTTAGGTGACACACAGGGAAGTGTTCATAGCACCTGGTTCATTTTTCCTGAGTTGCCTGAGGTCATGCTAAAAATTATAACAACCGTGCATCGTCTGCATTATTTGCAAGGCTGAACAAAATGCCCAAAGCCATCGCCAGTCTTCAAGATGCTGCTCCCCTGAACCACCCGTGCCGCCCCTCCCCCGTTTGTCTCTTCTCGGAAGGGCCCTCCTACCGGGATGACCCACCCATCCACAGCACAACTGGCAGGCTGGCATTCATGCATACTCAGATCCTTTGGCACAAGGTAAGCCTGGCATGCCCAGCTCTTCGGTCTTGTCACGCACACCCACGGCCCAAGTGAGCAGTTAGGGTGGACGGGTTTCCCCACGGGCTGCACACAAGTCTCTCGCCTTCAGGAGGCTGACATCTCTCACCCAAACGAACGGTCCCAGCACCCAGTCCTGCCCATCCCCCAAGGTACACGGGAGAACTAGCCCGAGTTTGGCAGAGGGGGTGGGACGGCAGGGAACGGCACGAGTTTCGGCGATTAAGTCCAAACCACTCACGAGACCCCCGATGTTTCGAGAAGCAGGAGGGAGAGCCAAAGAAAAGCGAGCGGAGGAAAGGACCAAAAGGGTCCCCTTTCCCAAAGTCACCCCAAACCCCGCACCTGGGAACCCCAACAGCTGGCTCAGGTCAAGAGAGTCAAAGTTCTCACACAAATCTGACGCCGGAGCCAGTGAGAGCGGCTGAAGCGGTGCACAGGGGTCTGGGGGTGAAGAGAAATACAACCACGAGAAAGGAGGCGGGAAACTGTCCTGGCGACTAAGCCGCGGCGTCAGACAGCTGGTCACGGACACTGCTCGGCGCGTTCCAGGAACCAAAGGCTCCGGCCGCCGCTCCCGTCCCCTCCCTGCGGCAGGCCCGGCGGGCTGAGGTGGGCACGGGGGTAGGCGACACCTGCAGGGCCCCCACCCTGCATCCTGACGCGCGAGCCACGGCTCGCGGCCAGTGAAAGCCACAAAAGGGAAAGCCGCGTTGTCACTTGAGGAGGATGCAAGAAGGGCCCACGCGGGCCACAGCACAGCTCTGCCCGCAGGCAGACGGCGCCCGGACACGCGGCGGACGGCAGCCTTACCCTAGGAAAGGAAGCTGGGCCGCGGTCACCTTCGCGCCGCCTCCACACGGTGGCCGTACCGCAGGCGCCTCACGCGCACTCGGGATCTGTTTACCAACTCGCCCGCGCCTGGAAACCCAGCACCGGCAGCCCCGGGCAGCCCCGCCCCGCGGGCTGTTCCCATTGGCTGCGCCCCCGTCGCCGGTCGCACGCCGCGCGGAGCGAAGAGCGTGCTCGATCCGTGCGCTCAGCCCGTGACCAATCGGGATCGAGGGCGGAGCGAGAGCAGCCAATGGGAGGCCTTCCAGCGCGCAGGGCTACCCCCCCTTCTTATTTTCTCCTTTGCCCTTTACCCTAGTTATGAAAACCAGGATTAAGGCCTGACCGCGGGCTTGGTGGGCCAACGCGCCTGTGACCGAAGGATCGGCCCTTCCTCGTGGCGAAGCCACGGACAAGGCTGCGGTGGCAAGCCTTTTGCCATCACCTCCTTGCGGGTGCTCGTCCGGTCTCGGAGCGGGCCTGGGAGGGAGGCGGTGGAAGAGGGAGACGGGACTGCGGCGGGCACGACTTGAGGAGCAGGCGAGGCCTGCACTGTGCCCGTCTTGAAGTGTCACCAGGCCCCTCCAGTTCTCTGCCGGGCGCGTGCTGGAGGAGAAAGCGCTTCGGCGTCCCGGCCACGCCTACTTGCCTTTACTCCTCAGGCTGTTAGCTTTTTGCGGGCGCCATCTCTAACCCGGGAAGGCTGCGGGCCCACGCCCCCGGCTCAGGGCTCCCAGGAGGTGGCCCACAAAGCCGGCAGCACCCCGCTGGGCTCGGAGAACCCGCGTCGTTTGCCCTTGCCTGCTAAGGCTCCTCGCAGAGGGCGGGGGCGGGGGACAGGCCGGCACGTGGAAGGAGCGGAACTACGCGCGGCCCATTCGGTTCCGGGCGAGCTCTGTGTGGGCGGCCCCAGCAGTGAGAAGCTCATTGACGATGCCGAACCACCCTGGAGGAACTGCACCCGCTCCGCCAACAGATCGGGCCCCAAACCACCCTCTCTAACCAGAGAATTCAGATCTGAGCCCAAGTCTGACGACTTCCCCTGTGATTCCCAAAGGCTGGTCTGCAGCCCTGACCTAGGTGGTTAGTGGAGCTTGTGGGAAAAAGGAAAATAACAAGTTAGTGAGTTTTTCATAAATCTATTTAAGCCAAAGGATTGCCCTTGTTTCTGATAACTCTATTTTGGAATCAATGTTTAACTTTTTGGAAACTGAATATTATTAGAAAAATTAAAAGCCATTTTATGTTGATACCTGAAATGGGGGGAGGCAGGAGTTTATTATACAGGCACACCCCCCAGATGTGGTTTGCTTTCAGACCATTGCAATAAAGCAAATGTCAAAATAAAGCGAATTATGTGAATTTTCTTTAGTGCAGATAAAAGGTATGCTTGCACTATATTGTAGTCTATGTGTGTATGTCTAAAAATACAATGTACATGCCTTAATTAAAGAATACTTTATTGTTAAAAAGGCTAACCATCATCTGAACCTTGAGCAAGTCATAATCATCGCTGGTGGATGACATTGCCTCCATGTTGATGGCTGCTAACTGATCAGGATGGTTGGTGATTGCTGAAGGTTGGGGTGGCTGTGGTAGTTTCTTAAAATAAGACAATGGCCCTGGCCAGTTTGGCTCAGCGGTTGAGGGTCAGCCTGCAGACCAGAAAGTCCCAGGTTCAGTTCCTGCTAGGAACACGTACCACAAAAAAAAAAAAAAAAAGACAATGAAGTTCGCTGCATTGACGGACTCTTCTTTCACAAAGGATTTCTCTGTAGCATGTGATGCTGTTTGATAGCATTTTACTCTCAGTAAAACATTTTTTCAGAATTAGAGTCAGTCCTCTCAAACCCTGCCACTGTTTTATCAACTAAGTGTATATAATATTCTAAATCCTTTGTTGTCATTTCAAGAACCTTCATAGCATCTTCACCAAGAGTAGATTTTATCTCAAGAAACTACTTTCTTTGCTCATCTGAAAGAGGCAACTCCTCATCCATTAAAGGTTTGTCATGAGATTGCAGCAATTCAGTCACATCTTCAGGCTCCACTTCTAATTCTCTTTCTATTTCCACTACATCTGCAATTACTTCCACCACTGAAGTCTTGAGTCCCTCAGAGTCGTCAATGTGGGTTGGAATCAACTTCTTCCAAAGTCCTGTTAACATTGATATTTTGACCTCTTCCCATGAATCATGAATGTTCTAATGGCATCTAGAATGGTGAATCCTTTCCAGAAGGTTTTCAATTTGCTTGACACAAGGTTGCCCCAAACCTTCAATTTTTTTAAAACATAGTTGCCTTGGCCCATTTGGCTCAGTAGTTAGAGCATTGGCCCACATACCAAAGAGTCTCGGTTTGATTCCTGGTCAGGGGCACATACCTGGGTTGCAGTTTGATATCCAGCCCCAATCAGGGTCATGCGGGAAGCAACTAATCGATGTGTCTCTCTCACATCCATGTTTCTCTCCCTCCCTCCCTCCTTTCCACTCTAACTGAAAAATCAATGGAAAAATATACTTGGGTGAAGATTAACAAAAACAAACACCACCCCCACCACCCCCCCAGTTATCCGCAAAGCACCATAAAGTAAAGCACAATAACAATAAGCCCTGGCTGAGTGGGTCAGTTGGTTGGAGCGTTGTCCCTTGCACTAAAAGTTTGCTATCAGGACACATTTCAATCCCCAGTTGGGGCACGTGTGGAAAGCAACTGATAGATGTTTCTCTCTCACATCAATGTTTCTCTGTCTTCCTGCCCCTCCCTTCCTCTATCTAAAAATCAATTTTAAAAAATATACTCAGGAAAAGATAAAGAAAAAATTAAAACACAGTGAACCAAGTGTACCTGTACTGCTTTAAGTACCTGAGTTTCCCATGACACCTTCACAAAGCACTGTGTGGGAAATTCTGAATTAGGTAATCACTGGAGTCTCCCTTCCCCTAAAACTTTTTCCTATTTTTAGAAACGTTTGAACATTTTAATTAATTGATTTTAATCTTTCTTTAGGTACTACATTCTTAAGATTTTTAAATAAAACTATTTTTAAAAGGTTCGCAGTGAAGTCTTCCCCTACTTCATCTCTCCTACCTACTTCCCAATGCCAATGCCCCCACATCCTCCCACACAAATGCAAACACTGTTACTAAGTTTATCTCTTTTCAAAGTTGCTTTATACATATACATTTGTAAGCAAATACAAACACACACTCATATTCTATAGAAACGGTAATTCTGTATACTTTGTTCTGCTTGTTCATTTAATGACATAGCTTGGAGCTCCTTTCCAAATCTGCACATAGAGAGTCCTCATTCTTTTTTTCAGTATTACATCATGTGAGCAAACCATAATTTGTTCTACCAGTCTTCTACTAATGGTCATGAGGACTGTTTCAGTTCTTTTGCTATTTCAAACAGTGCCACCATGAAAAATCCTGTTTGTTTTTATAATGTGATTAATTTGGATCCAGGCAAGGCTGGATTTGTGCCCAGAGAGAACAGTGCAGTGCAGAGCCCGCGATTGTCCTCATGGTGCTCAGAGGCCTGATGCATGACTCACTGGCTCCAAGATTCATAACACACCACCCAAACACCCAATCGGGAAAACAGATCATTTCTAGAGCACCAGGGAGGCAGCATCGCAGGCCACAATTTGAGGAGATTGCCAGACCTGAGAAAATCCAACCCAGTTCTGCTAAAAGAATGACTTCAAGGAATTCCAAGCCTGTTCAACTAAGGCCAAACTAATTACTATAATTAGCTGACTGCACAATTAGAAGTGATTAAGCATAACACAAGAGGCTGAACTCCCCACCAATGGAAACATCCTTGCTCAGCCCATTAACAATTTCCACTTCTTTGCTCTCCATTTTCCTTAGCCTATGCTTATAGCATATCTGCCTTCTCAATAGGGTATTATTTTTCATTTTCACACTATTTTATTTCCAACACACTATAGCATATCGAAATTAGCCAAGTATGCCAAGTCATTAGCTTAATTTTCTATTTTTCAATTGAGATATAATTTAAATGCAGTTAAATGCATAGATCTTAAGTCTATAGTTCAGTTCATAAGTTTTTACAAATGAAAATAGATCATGTAACCAACACCCTAATTAAAATATAGAACAATTTTTTTCCTCCAAAAAGTTCCTTCATGCTCCTCTTTCCAATCACCACCCCACCTGTGCCAAGCAACTGTTCTGATTCTAGGTTGATTTTGTTAAGGAGAAATAACTGATTACATGACATGAATTGGGAAGTAGCACTTTCTAAGTTGAAAATCAGTATAAAATTCATTCTCTTGTCCTTAAATTTTCAAGTGTGTGTGGAAAGTCATCCCAGTTACTGAATTCGTGTTTTACTTTGTTCTCCCTTAAACAGTCACCATATACTTTAAAAAAAAATTTTTTATTCACTTAATTATGAGTAGTTTCCAAGTTTGGGCCCCAAGTCTGTAAACAAGAGAAGCAATAAACACTCTGGAAGCTAGAAACCCTGATTTGAGAGTATGTGTATGTCAATCTCTTGCACCATTTCCTTCTGAGATATCTAGAAACAGGGTTAAAGGGGATGAGGCTGTGAAGGGGAGTTTAGAAAATAAAGGAGTTATATGCCCCAAAGAGAAAAAGCCCTCTGCAGGCAGGAACTGTGATCAAGGCAGGTAGGAGAGCTGCAAGGAAAAAAAGTTTACTTATAGGTAAGGATGGACCAAGGGCACACACAAGACTCCATTTGGCCAGTAACCAAGGAAGTTAAAAGTCAATGTGAACTTTCTTTTTTTTTTTTTAAATCTTTACCCGAGAATATTTTTCCATTGATTTTCAGATAGAGTGGGAGGGAGAGAGAGAGAAACATGAATGTGAGAGAGACACATCAATTGGTTGCCTCCCACAGGACCCCAACCAGTGCCAGGGATCAAACCACAACCGAGGTACGTGCCCTTGACCGGATCAAACCTGCAAGTCTTTGATCCATGAGCCAATGCTCTAACTGCTGAGCCAAACCGGCTAGGGCTCAATGTGAACTTTCAATAAAAGAGTACAGGAGGGCCTGACTCCGTTGGGTGAGTAAGCAATTTCTGGAAGAGAC